GCCTGAAGGAGAATCATGCATCTGTCTGTACTTTTTTTTTTACTGTAAACAGCATTAATCTGTCAGTTACATCTTATTTCACCTACCTATGACGCTCTTAGCAAGGAAGCCCCTTAAGTGTTGCCAGCCCTAATCTCCTATTTTGACCGAGCCTGTAGGTCAGTGATAAAAATGTTGTCACATTTAAGGTCCCTGTGGATGATGGGAGGGGGTCCTGGTGTGGAGAAAGTGAAGGCCTTTCAGGATCTGCCTGCACCAGCTCCTCAGAACCTTTGGCTTCATTACCTTGAAACGCTTCAGATAGCTGTAGAGGGGAGAGGGAAACACATTACCTGACAATCGTATGAGTTTCAAAAATGGCCTTTCAGTGAAACACAGATAGGCTGACCTTTCTTGGAGAATCTGAAGAAATAGTACACATTCAAATGTCACTGAAACCTGAGTAAGAATCTGTATAGGACAAAATTGAATTTCGAATATGTATAATTGTTTTCCTCAGAGGATTTTCCTTCACCAGTGCTTACGTTTTGAGCGTTCCTGACGTCATGAGCTCCGTTACTAAGACAATGCACTTCTTCCCTTTAAGGGGACACTCCCAAAAGTCGTAGAAACGGACGATGTTAGGATGTTGAAGACCCTTTAACATCTCTGCCTCCTCCTTGAAGCGCTGACGTTCCACTTTAGACAGCTTGCGATCCTAGAGGAAAGAGGGCAGATGCAGCAGAGAGAAGTAATGTATATGAAGCACTAATGAAAAGAAACTTATTATAGCACAGGAACAAGCAGATGGAGTGGCCGTGCCCTCGGAGGCATTTCCCTGCACATTTAAAATGCAGGAATCCAGTATGTTTCAGCAAAGTGGGAAAGACAGAGCGAGTGTCTTTGAACCGTATACACATCTCTAATTGGACCATATGTGTATCATCGCTGATAACAGCATTGTGATTGGGAAGAATCAAGATCAGTGGCTTTCTCACAGCGTAAAGAGATTCAGACTAAACATCTTGTGTGGAATAATGAAAGGATGTTGAATACCAGTTCTCACAGGGAAGCATAGCGGCTGTGGAGAGTGGGTGACAACAGGAGCGGCTGTGGGGAGACGTGGCCACACCCAGGACACACTGCAGCTAAAGGTTACTCTCCCATCTTGCTCACTCACTCCTCTACTACCTTTTGCTCCTTCTCCCCCCCCCTTTCCCCCATATCTGCAATCCGTCCCTGCTACACAACAACCACTCCCTTCTCCATAACCAAACAGCCCCTGCACACACGTCTTCGGTAAGTATCCATATAAATCACTTCCTCAGTCCTCTGTGAGGCTGACCCTGCTCTGACAGCACCTTGCTTTAGGTAGTGCCACGGGGTTCTTTATCACAGCTTCCTTTTTTCCAAACTACCACGGCAACGCCTTGTGTAACAGACACGCGCTACACTCAGCACTGAGCACGGACCAGAAGCACGACCCCACCCCTCTCATAGACCGACGGCACCGACGGAGGTTGCGATAAAGACAATCTAGCGAGATCTAATCTATTTAATTATTCAACCACAGTCAACTTTCTGTGCGATGGAACTGCAGCAAAAGTAAAAATCAGCCTGAACAACATGGACATCATTAAGTGAGCAAAACGTGCTGAGATACAATGCGTTGAGGAGTGAAGGGATGCGATGATAAAGCATGCTGTGTGTCTATGTGTGCGAGAATGTGGCATATTAGGTTTTGTGTGCAAGTGAGTGGGGGGTGGGGATTTTCACTGCACCCTTCTAAAGGCCCAATGAATTATTCAGTTCTGCAGAGAACCTTTTCTACTGAGGCGGGCTGAGCGGGGAAGGGCTCGGGCTGAGCGGGAAGGGCTCGGGCTGAGCGGGGAAGGGCTCGGGCCGCCCAAGTTGGGCTGGGTTATCCCCGAGTGCTCTTCGCTGCACATGGACTGAAGTTTACCTGCACTACAGGTCAAAGAGGAGGAAGGAGACAGACAGCTTAAAGCACACTGCAGCAGCCCTCTCCCCCATAGGAGCCACACCCCTCATCTCCCCTCATTACTGTTTTATCTTTCATGCTCCCTCCTCCTCATCATTTCTGCTCTCATCTTTAGGGAATCCTGCTGCTATTCGTAAATAACCCCCACCTCGGAGTGTTCCCCCAAACACACCTTTATCGCTCTCTCATATCTGCTTTCCCTCTCAACAGACGCCACAAGTAGGCTGAGAGGCGTTGTGCACAGCATGGCGAGATGCACAGACAGATACACATGCACACGGAGAAACCAGAAGAATGTCAATCTCAAGACCCTTACCAGAGATAGGATATCAACGTAAGCATCAGTAAGAGAGTCTGTAACTGCTGCATAGTGACTCTAAGGAATGTGAGCATTTAACAACCGTGACTCGCTATTACATTAGACAAATCTGCAATGTACACATGACTAAAGTAGCCCCAGCTGGCTGCAGCAGAGTGTGGAGCCTCCCAGGCGAGGTTAAACAGACACGCACAGAAAGCATAGCAGGAGGCAGGGAGAGGAGAATAGATTGTGACATTAGCAGGAAGCGATCTATAAAGCTGTGCTCCACTCGGCTGCCACCCACTACAGCGCTGAGCTGGACTATATTAGAGCCCAACTCATTCAGATACACAGATCAGACCAGGTAATAGATTCAAATACAAGTTCTGGGAATTGTGCAGGCGAACACCCATGTGATGGCACAACTATGTGTTCAAATCAAGTTCCTGCTTTAAAGTCACATGTTGTCTGCAGTCCAGTTAAGGACAAAGTGCCTTTTCTACAGGAGGTAGAGCAAAGCACGAACACCGTTTCAGCTTGGCTTAAACCGAGGACATATTTGCTGCAGAATGCACGGTATGCGCGGGTAGATGGTATCGCTGCAGGTGTCTTACAGTGGCCATTTTTCGTTATCGGTCAAATTCCTTGCAAAGTCTACTTTTAGTTACCCAAATTAATCTGGACACTTGTGAAATACTTTTAGTTTCTAAGAGCAACATGCTGGATAATAAAACTGTGTGCTATTGGGGAACTTGGCTGCCATTTGATACATAAAAAGGCCCTTTTGAAGGAGCCTGGAATCTAGTCTGTAATATAGGCAGGATGGCTAATGCACCTTATTATTGGACTAACAGGCTCATGCTGAGAGCAGAGTGAAACACAGCAGCACAACATGAATCTGTCAAACATGAGCATCCTTCATGTGAAAACAGTCCCAACAGTGCAGAGCTCCAAAAGCATATTCAATAGTTTGGAATATCTGCCTAAAAACAGCTTTCTGAGCTCAAACAACATCACAAACGATGGTGAGTCAGAACAATGCTTCACTGACAACAGATGACACAGTTCTTCCTGCAGTGATTGCATTTTTTGATTGATATAAAAAATAAAAATAAATTGTCAAGTGCTACCGGAATTTAGGGGGCTATATCAGGATGAGTGTCTCCTATTGATTATCCTTTAATAGAATTCGCCGGCACCTAGTGGGAGAGCTGTCGGGCTAAAGAGTGTCAGGCAGGCAGGCCATCTCCCTGGAGCATCAATCTCAGAAACATCCGACAGTTTCAAAAGCACAAAACACAGTGAGTGATAGATGCTGAGTGTTCAAAGACTGAAATGAGTCGCTTTATAGACACCAATTCTGAAGCTGGGAAGTTTCATTGTAAAAATAAGTTTCATCTGTTACCTCACAACATGGTTTTAGAAAAGCAGAAAGGTTGAGTCATGACCTTTATCAAAATGGATTCTTCTCATCCCGTAATAGGAAATTACATAACTGCAAATGAAGGGTGTGAATGATCTTAATGAACCCAGTAGCCTTACACATAAGAACGGACAGATTCCAGTAGAGCAGGTATATGGAAATAACACTTCTATTAAACAAGCTCAGAAATGAATCCTGGTATGAAACAGCTACAACATATTTGCTAAATTATAAAATAGCACATTTGAATCCAAGTTGATAAATCACTTGTGATATTCTGGAATATGGGGGAAAAGGAAACCATTTGTTTTATAAGTCTCTCGTGTGAATGGGCCTTTATGAGGGTTTGGCAGATGCTCACTTTTTAACTATAACAAAAGTGTTTTTCTCCCGTTTGAGTGTTGCCTGTGATTTAACAAATGATATGAAGATGATATGGTCAACTGTGTGGGTCAAATGTTTAGAAATCTCAGGACTACAATGCTTTGGCTGGTTCATATTGTTCTTCTCATTCTCACAATCCCTCTAGCTAAAATCAGTCAACCAGTGAGATACACATCCGGTTGAGTGAACGTATTAGGAGCGCATTAGTCCCAATTAAGGCCGCATAATGACACGCTCAAAAAAATAAAATCTGTGTCATCTTCGTCTCACAGCTTTTGGTCGTAATTACAATTTCCCGCTTTCCCCACAATAACCTGGCCTCAAATTGAACCGTAGTTAATAAGGAGCAGATTAGCATCGTTTGGGCTTAGAAACAAGAGGGTGACAGCGATGTATATATTAGAACAAGTTCAACTATAAAACCTAGACAGCTGAACGCAGGTACACACAAACACACACACACACACACACACACACACACACCACCCACACACCACACACCACTACACACAACACCACACACACACACACACACACACACACACACACATTCCACACCACAACACACACACACACACACCCACACACACACACGCAGCAACACACACACAGCACCCACGACCACACACACACACACACACACACACACACCACACACACACACTCACACACACACACACACACACACACACACACACACACACACACACACACACACACACACACACACACACACACACACACCACACACACACACACACACACACACACACCTCTTTTCTTGGAGGTCAGTATGACACAAAACACCGCCATAAAAGCTGTGTCTTGGTCATAGCTATTTAGAAAAGGCAACAATGCGGATATTCTGAATCTGACACATGAAGCCAGGTTTAAGGAGGTATGCTAAATGACTTGGCTGCTCTTCCACCCTCCTGCCACCCATCCCCCAAATAACTATTGCAGTGCTTCTGCTGCCGTAACAAAGGTTGGTGCAGGGCGGCAAACCATGAGCCAGCACAATGTCCACAGTTGAATTATGTCCCATCAGGAGGAGTGACTGCAGGAGAGTTTGGCCGACAGCTTTACCGGTCACTCTCCCCAGACACGCCACACCTAAAGCTGTGCTAATTGGCACACTCGCACTCAGGGTGGCACAGAATGACATTTTCAATAAAGAAGAGCTGGTGAGAATGCTGTAAGGCTAAGAGAAGAGCAACTATACATATCACTACTGCTCGTCAAAGAGGAGCCCGAATGACAGCAACACTGACTTGATGACAAGATAATATACAGTTATTGTGATGATACATCTGCACATGGCTAAATGATTGTTTCTGCCGTTTGTGTTTCAGGGGTTTTAGATTAATACAATAAGGTGGAAGGAATTAGGAGAAGCTAAGAGGAGGGGATGACAAACAAACGGCCACACCCACAGCACCCTTAGTTAACAGGAAGGAAAGAGGAGGAAAACACAGCATGATGAAACACTTGGGACTTATGCCTAACCTTAACTGTAAGTAGTCCATAGTGAAAGTTGGTTGCAAAGGTGTTAGAGTGTGTAATGTGTGTCAGGCTGATTGTGACCGGGAGTTATGTGGTATAGCCATA